GGGGGGGTTAATGTTTGGAGAATGTTCAAATGTCCAGTTCCCTTGAAGAAAAACCCCCCCAACCAAGCCAACAAATATTTTGTGAACTTAAAGCTTGTTTCTTTCAGAACAAAAATAGAATGTTTCAAAGTGAAGGCATACACATGCTAATGTGCGCTAACATATACACAACTTTGGACAAACAAAAGTGTTGAATATCTATTACTTCTCTGTGAGCTATTGAAAATGAAGGATTTTGGGGCTTTAACATTTTACATGTAATAATAATGTTTAATTTAGGAATACATGTAATTTGCCTGACTTACAATTGATTACGTGTTCGATTGCCATATTGTTTTGAGTTCTTTTTGTAGAATTTTATTTTTTAAGACAATTCCACTCTGCTTCTTTTCAATACTTTGTTGGCGCTTAAATGACCAAAATTGTGTCGATAGTGCCGTAAAACATCTACCCAATCAAAAAATCAATACTTTGTAAAGCCTGAATATGAGAATGCAAGAGTGTGAGAAAGATGTGGTTGGGCTTGGGAGATTGAGCTGGCAAATGAAAGTATTAAAATATTGAGCTTGTCAAATAAGTTGGCGAAGTCATTTGAGTCTTCCCCGATGGAAACAATAGAATGATAAGGTATAATTTGAACTGTTGAACCTCATATATTATAATAATTTATATGTATTTGACGATCAGACATGTTTTGCATGATCTACCAGTCATGTAATAACAAATTGTTTTCGTCATAGGATGTTGCAAAGCAGCTGAATAATCCAAGTTTATGAATCTTTGTTGATGTGTGTGGGCCCTTAGGTGGAAGTTGTCTGTCTTGTGAAGCTGTTATCTGACTAAGGGTGTAGAGACTTTTATCTTTCGATCCATCACCACAAGATGATAGTTGCAGGTTCTGTTCAGCTGTTGGGCAGTTCTGTACAGTGTATTCTCGTGGTTGGTTGGAGGGGACTATTGTGGGTCCTGCTTCTTTTTTTTCTTCTCTCTTTTGTCTTTGTCTATCTTTCTTGCTTTTGTCAGCAATATATACACGTTTTAGGATCAATCTACATCTCTTTACTCAAAGATATAAACCGTGAATGCTCATTGGGGGGATTAGCTCCTTTATATGTCCTTTATTCACTTTGAAATCTCGAAAAATGCATGACCTGTATCTTCCATTTTTGGTGGTTGACGGGTGCTCTGGTGTGGTCTGCTCCTTCTTTACTATCAAACATCTATTGTCATTTGATTATCACTCCTCCTCCTTTCTTGTTTTTGTTACTCTCTGATCTTTAGCACTTGTGTGACCTTATTGTGTTGCAAGTGCCATAAAACTCTTACTAAAACTAAACTCTACTGTTTTTGACAGATGGTTGTGGCAGCAGGTTGTTGGTCCTACATTGCCGTCCATCGGTTGTTTCTGACTGTCTGTTTTGCTTATTCACACTGCAAAATGACCTTTATCCTACCTATTGATGAAATTAATTTTTTTTTTTACGTGTCCACCCTTCCCAGGATGCTTCCAAGTCAATCCCCAAGGGTACGTTCCTGTCTATCCTGATCACTTCCTTGGTTTACCTCGTCATGGCTATATGTGTGGGTTCCTGTGTCCTGCGAGAGGCCAACGGGATCATGCTGGTGTCTACTGCTGCTGCTACTGCTGCGTCCAATGTCAGTGTCCTCCAGCCTGTCAGTGCTGCTGTCAATGGCTCTGTTGCCATGACAACAACAACTGCGGCCACAGTGGCTGGGCCTGTGGCAGCGTACTCTGTGAACACGACACCCTTTGCACTGACCTCCACTGGTGAGTACTGGAACAGAGAGAGGACTTTGATGATGGAAATTCATGAGTTAATATATTCTCTAAAAATAAATGTGAAACAATTCCCTGTCACAGACTTTATAAAGTTTCTTTTGCACTCTTCACAAGGAGCATTTCAAGGTGGGGATATAATTGGTTTTTCATAGTATGTGGGATTGTATGAATGCTTGTGAATATTTGTCAAGCACAGTTTGTTTTATTGTATAAACATGTTTTCATACCAGTGCTTTTTGCTTTGTAATTTCCACCCCTATTGTGTCTTGTTTTTCCAGTGAAAAAGGCTTCTCAGAAATTTTAGTCTCAGTAAAATCTTAATAATTTTGCTGTGAATTTGGAAGAACTGGTAAAAGTAGACTGCGAACTATTCTTCCTCCTCTCTCTCCTCCCCCTCCTCCTCCTCCCCCCCCCCCCCCATTCTTCCAAAATTATTTAGAAGATTTAAGTCTCTTCAGTTGTAATATAATAATATGCTGAGATTATAACCATATCATGTTTTCTCTCTTTGTTTCAGCTGCTCCCCAGTACAGCTCTGAGGACTATAGTTACAGCCCAGAGTTCATCTCCAACTGTTCTCTGTCTCCTGAACAGTGCAAGTATGGCCTCCTCTATGACTACCAGGTACATGCATCCCTGACATTGTGTTTGGACAGGGGATTAAGAGTTTTGAACAATTTGCCATTTTTTCTTCATGATAAGTTTTGTCATGGGTTATTGGGGGGTCCTTATTTTTTACTTTTTTCTCTGAATGTTTTAGACAAATCAGTTTAAAAAAAAAAAAAAAAAAAAAAAAAGTATTCTTTGTTACTCCTGATGTGGGGCTATTAAATTTCTTTCTTATCTGGCTGGTTGTTCCATTCACACCTTTCTTATACATTATGGGTTTCAATTTGCACTAAATTTCTTGGAAATTTTTGTCCCGTGTGTGTATTATAGTAATGTGATACCGGTTGGTGTACCAAGTGAGTTTTTCTGTTGTGTCTTCTCCAGGCTATTGAGATGGTGGCGGCTTGGGGTCCACTCATCCTGGCTGGAATTTTCTCTGCCACTCTCTCCTCTGCCCTTGCCAGTCTGATGTCAGCACCAAAAGTGTTCCAGGTATGACCAAACTTCTGAGTTGAGAAACGCACTGTTTTGCATTTGGATGCTCAGGTGGTTTATCCGTCTGGGGAGTTACAAAAAGTCTTTTCTCTGGTGTCTGTGGTGGAGGGATTAGGTGCTTTGTTGTTGCATGCAGAAGACCAAAACTCAATTCTCATGTAGGGAAAATTTTTAACACTGAGCATCTTGGTCTTTCTGCTGAAATATTGAATCCTTCTCGGCTCGGGTTGACCCTGACAGGTAGGGTCGAAGTCTGCCGTGCAAATATGTAAATTGTGTCATTGGGGGGCGTAAAAATACATATTTTTATATATTAAAATTTTTTTTTAAAGGAAGTACTTTCACATAGACTAGTTTTGCTACTCGCAGATACACCAAAGTACACACACCTAGTCCTTGGATGAAGATATTTCTTAACACGTGGTAGAATGTGAAACAAAGAACTCCTTGAATTGTCTTGGGAACTTTTCATTTCTGGTGGAGGTTATGCTGACTACAGATTTCTTTGTCAGAATATAAGTATTCATTCTCCCCAAAATCTGCTGTTTTACTGATATGGTATGAAAGCTTGTATAGTCCTTCTATGAATTTGTTTGAAAAATTTGTGAATTTTGAGTATGTTTTAGAATTTTTTGATAATGTTGAAAGTATCTACTCAAAGCAAGTATTTTGAGCGAGTAAGACCCTGAAACTACTGTGTAGAATATCATCATTTCTCATAAGACATTCTATTTGGACACAAGTTTCACTCTTTGCTGATAACTGGCACAGAATGCACTTTGTATATTTGATCTGTATCAGCCAAACAAGTTTGGGAATAACCTTTGTGTTTCCCTCAGGCGCTCTGCAAAGACAAGATCTTCCCACTGTTGGCCTACTTTGGTGTAGGCTATGGCCCCGGTGACAACCCCAGAAGAGCATTTCTACTCTGTTTTGTTATAGGCTTCGGTTTCCAGTTAATAGGTAAGACTGCTAGAGGTTCGTGGATGTTGGTAACTCTTATTTGAACTTTTTTTCTACATAAATTATGGTTCCCCAAAGAGTATCTGTGTCCATGGTTTTATTGAGAAGTTGAGAGTAGGATCACTGTGGCCTTGCAAGTAACCTCACTTTGAAAGAACCACCAAAAGTACAAAATCGGAAGACTAACTTTAATGTATTGTTGACGGAGACTTTTCCCCATGTCTTAGAAAAATAAGTAAATTTATTGTGGAGGGGTAATACTTTCTAATGTAGTAGATACAGCTGCCTATGTTATTCGCAAGGTACCAGGCAAATATATATTTGGATTGATGATTCTTGTGTTACTTCTAGTTTACATTTGGTTTTGACTTCCAGTTGCTAGATCTGAGACTATCTTTTAGAACAATAGTGGTTAGAATTGGGATGATAATGCCTTAATTTGTTCTGATTCCTCACTCTGATGTTTTTCTCATGTCATTTCAGCTGACCTCAATGCCATAGCACCTCTGATCTCCAACTTCTTTCTCATGTCGTATGCCCTCATCAACTTCTCTTGCTTCGATGCGTCTGTAGCCAGATCACCCGGTAAGATTTCTCAATTAAATATTTCACTCCGTAATGTTAAGCATCTACCAAAGGCTTGAGATTGCATGGAAATGATTATTGTGCTAATGATGACACTCGTCAAAATAATGGAATCCGAGAAATCTGCATTTTTCGGCCAGCTTGGAAATTTTCTTCGAATTTTTGTTTTTTGACTCACCATCTTGTATGTCCATTCAAAAACTCTTTTATGTGTGGATTTTATTGACAAACGTTGATTAAAGGCACAAAAAAAAAAGGAGTAAATTTGCAGTTTACATGGACTCCCAAGCTATGGAAGTCACCTAACTTTGGCGGCCATTTTATTGCTAATTTTACTTCTAAAACTAGGCGACCCCACCTCCTTCAATCGCAAATATCTCGACTTCTATTCAAGATAAATGGATATTTTTTTTCTTCCAAAAGCAAGGCAAATGAATAACCTTTAAGGTGATACCAATAACTCCATATGCCCCGAAATTGACGAGCGCCTGATTCCACTTCGTTGTGACACATATATGAATATGGTGTTATTGTCATTATGAGAAGTTGTTTGCTCAGTTAATGTACTTTAAGCAACAACCCTCTTTCTCCCCCCTCCTCCTCTAATTCTTATGTCTGTTTTTAATTTGCTGTAATATGCTAAATGGTTTCATACATTTTTAAGTCTATTTTTGTAACAAAAATCAGGACTCAGGCTTGATTAATGAATTTCTGTGTTCCTGTTATGTTTTTGTTTTGCGAAATAAATTTAGCGAGTTATTTTTGTTCTAGAACTCAAATGTGTCTTGTTGTCTGTGTGCAGGATGGCGTCCATCGTTCCGTTTCTACAACAAGTGGCTGAGCCTGTGCGGAGCGGTGCTGTGCATTGTGGTCATGTTCATCATCAACTGGATCACTGCGCTCATCACCTTTGGCTGTGTGGGCACTCTGTTTGTCTATGTACACCATCGCAAACCTGGTACGCATGACCTTCTTATTGCTTTAGTTACTAGCTGTTGAAGTCTATAGGCCTGGTCTGAAGGCTCACAGTGCTAGATTTAACCTCGTACTGAAAATTGAATTAATTTTTAGTAAGAATAAAAAGATGTGGCCAGGGACATGCAAGCATTGTGTCGACTGCTCTCCACCTTATGTACCTGAAAGTATAGGGAGAGAATAAGTAAGTATGAATAAATTATATGGGGTACTTTCGAAAGTGGCGTATATCTGCCTTCAAAGGGAGTGGCCGTAAAAGTAATGGTTGGATATTCTGTTGGTTGAAATTTTGAAAACTATGTGATCTGCCATCACCGAGATCAATTACTTTACTTTTTTACTTTTTTATTTTTGATAAGTGGAGTCAGTTATGTGTGATGGATCATGTTCTTGTATGTTTTTTTTCGTTTGATGGTATGTCTTTTCTTGTGTTGTTTCTCTCTGTTGTCTTCCCTCATACTTGATGACTGTTATTCTGTTTATGTGCTGCTCTATACTCAAAGAGACAAATGAATGAGTCACCTTTTGGTATTTGTTCCAGATGTGAACTGGGGCTCATCTACCCAGGCTCACGTGTACCGCAGCGTCCTCATACAGACTCTCAAGCTGGTCAGGATTGGGGAGCACATCAAGAATTTCAGGTTAGTATTTCCTTGTCACGTGTGAACGGTACATCTGTTCAGGAAACTTGAGTATGTCGAGAAATTTAGCACTTTTTCCTTTGTTGCATACTACGCGGTATGTTTGGGAAAGCCTACTAGATCTTGTTAGTGCCTCAGATATCTGCAATTACTCGTTTTCAATCTAATTTTCCAATTTTATGGCTTCTCTGTACATTGTTGGTTTCTTCTTTACTGTCCATCTTTTGTTTCTGCCTGTCTGTCTTGCGTGCCAACCCCACCCCTCACTTAAGGGGAGACGACGTACACTCCTGGAAAAATTTTCTAAACGAATGACTTTTATTCAATTTCATGTAATTGTGCAAGAAGTTCATAGGTAAATAGGATGTACTAGGGGTGAATTTGTTGAATTTTTCTGAAAAATGGGTCTCTGTGGTAGCCATCTTGGATTTTTAAACCCGTTTCTTAGTGCAGAAGAATTTCATAGTAAATATTGAATTATCAGCCTGAAATTTGGCACACAAGTACAAACCTATATGAACTGGGGATCCATGTAAGGATTTTGTCCTATCTTTAAAACTAAAAAAGTGAGCCCAAAGTCATTGGACCCACTAGAATCAGTTGACGAGATTTTGGGGTACATATTACAAAAAAATTGAATATTTCAAGTTACCAATATTTCCCAATTTTCTTTCATAGATCCCCAGAATCGATCTTAAAGCACCTGTACAACAAATTTGAAGCTTCTAGCTTCTGTAGTTTTTGAAAACTCCTTGCACCCGGGAAGTCACATATGTCAAAAAGTAGATTTTGAGAAAAACAGAAAAAACGGATTTTAAAAAGGATTTTTAGAGCAGTTTGCACTTTTCAAACGCCCTTTTAGATCATTTAGGGTGTTTTTTCAACAGTTTCTTCATTTTGACTCGATAGAACAGATGTCAAAGGATGTTTTTCAGCAAAAAACAAAAGTCGGATAGTTTGAAAAATTGTATCGATATTGCCTTGGATTGCCGACCCAGGTCTTCCCTTAATAGCTTGTTGTTGGTTATTGTGTCTGTGATGAAATCTCTATGACTCAACTCTTCTACTTGATCACAGACCACAAGTTCTGGTTCTCTCTGGTGAACCGGACACACGGCCGGCCCTGGTAGATTTTTGCACTCACATCACCAAGAAGATGGGACTCATGATGTGTGGCAATGTCATTGTGGTGAGTGGTGGCTTCTGTGCTTTGTTAATAGAAACATTATCTTTCTATTCTTAGTCGCTGTTTCAGCTTAGTGGAGACAAGCTTGCTCTCTGGATTTATTTTAATGCCTCTGAAACACCTACCCCCCCCCCCCCCCCCCCCCCCCTCTCCACACACACTCACAATTTGAGGTTGAGGGCATTATGTTCTTCGTTACATATAAAAGCTCAGGATATTTTTCATAGGTACCATACCCATTTTGTGTGGCAAGCGTTTCAGTTTTGCAACAGTGAAAAAAGACACAATTTAAGTTTAGAGATGGGCCTTTTACTTTTACAGGGGTGAATTTCTAGTTTCTGATATGTAAGGATCTTTTGGGTCGTCCTGTAGCAGAAAGCCTTTTATTTTTGGACAAGCAAAATCCATAGTTTCATTTTTTCAATGTGCCCCTACATAGGGTACTCAATGGGAGAATCTGCGCCAGTTACAGTCAAGCGCTCCATACGCATACTTCCGGCGGCGACACATCAAGTCTTTCTACTCAGCCACCACAGCTTCCACGTTCCAGCTGGGAGCTCAGGCCCTTATGCAGGTCAGTCACTTTGGGGTTTCAGGTCAAGTTTGACGCCGATTTCAACATATTTTCAGTTTTGTCATGAGTTAGAGCCTCTGAATTAATACTGAAGACTTAGGAGGTGGATTAGAGAGCTTTGATGTAAAAATGATTTGAATCATGGCCCACGATCAAGGTGAAAAGTAAGCCTTTTGATATGAAGAGAGAAATGTGTGTTGTCGTAGTAATTCACAAGTTCTCCTGTGTTGAAGTAAACTCTTTACACTAATTCCCATCAGTATCAATTCTTGACACAGAGCTCTATTTATGTAAATAACTTTCATGGCTTTGTTCTGTTTTTTGCATTTAGCTAGAATACACTTCAAGAGAAAGAAAGTTTTGCTGATGGACTCATAATGTGTCGACAGATGTTTTCATATTACAGTCTCTATGTACCTATGTCTATCTACAGAATGTCGGTGTGGGAAAGTTCCGTCCCAATCTTCTGATCCTCGGGTACAAGTCCAACTGGCAGACAGACAAACCTGAGTATGTCCAGCAGTACTTGGGCGTCATTCAGTAAGTTGTACATGTTTCTTGTGATTTTTGTTGTTGTTTTGGTTGTGTGTGTTGTCATCATCATTGTTTATCTCACCCTGGACCAGGATACAGGCCTCGAACAAATACTCTCCACATTTCCCTATCCTGGGCTAGTCGCTTGATATGTCACTCCATGTCTTCCCACGTTTCTGTACATCCTTTTCTGTGACTCTTCTCCAGGTTGCACGTGGTCTTCCCCTTGATCTTTTGTTGTAGGGAGTCGAATAATTTGCTATAAAAAAGGACCCCAAAGTTTTCACAGATTTTTTTCTTCTTCTATTTTGCATACATTCCAGCCTTTTTCTTCTGGTTCTCTTTTCATTGGAATATAGGGAAAAACACAGCAGGACCAATTTAATAACATTGTAATCACAACCAATTAAAAAATTTTGAATTTAACCATTTTTGTAAAATTGTGCGTAGACTGATTAAAAAAAATAAAATTTTCTTCTTTTTTAGAAATTGTTAGTGTAGAAATAGAATGTGGACTACATCCTTCTTGGAGTCTTATGTATGCAGAGGTGTCCTGTGTATTTACTTTCATTTGTTTGATAAAAATGGAATGCACCCAAACAGTGGTAGACTTCTGTTACGACATGTCTAAGTTCACATCTATGATCAATATTACCTGTGGTGTTGTGATACGTCTGTCTTCTCACATGGTGTTTTTTTTCTTTTCTTTCTTTACAGTGATGCTTTTGACCTGAAGTTTGGTGTGGGGATTCTTCGTGTGAAGGAAGGCTTTGGTTTGGACGTGGACACAGCAACCACCTTGTTTGATGGCCAACAAGATGAAGGTGACACTGATACATTTTTTTTTTAAATGTGCATTTTTAAGAGCTTTTTAAATTTCTTTCTTTGAAGAAAAAAAATACAATGATAACTATCACAGCATAAGGCTCAGACAGAATGCTCTATTTATCAGTGCTGGTAATTTTCTGCGGATTGGCGGCTTTCCTCTTTTTTGTTGTTTCCAAAATATTACTTAGACCTGCATGTTTGCAGACAATCGTCTGAAATCCGACAATGGCAACGCGACCCGCGAGGCGACCGATGCTATCGCTAGGCCCACCTGTATCAGTCAATGTGCGAAGTGCGAGGCCTGGCCGACTGCCAGCGTCCCCCTTTTCTCCCATCGGCTTTGTCGGCACTTTCGTTGTCGTGCCGACCACCGACTGCCGACGTCGGCGTTTCCGACATAATTGTCGGAACCTGAGTAGAAATGCGAATACGAAAAAGGACGACGACCTAAATTATCTACTTTCAGTTTCGTGCTCGAGCAGCCATTTTTAATTTCATTTTGTTGACAAATACAATTGTTCAGATCGTGTGGATTCATTCCAGTCCGACTCACTTAGATTTATTTAATAGAATCTAGATCTAGATTTATATACTCTAGATCATTATAGACCTCAATGGAGGATTCATATTCCAATTCTATTTTGTCAAACTCTATCATAGGCTGTGCTGTAATATTAATGTTGGTAAAAGGCATTTCATCAGGTGCGTACCGTGCGTGAATTATTTATTTATTTAGAATCTAGACCAAGTCTAGACTCAGGTGAGCCCCTCTGTTCGGAATCGGATGCGGATTTCTAGTTCAAGGCCTATTCCTATTCATTTGTTCTACAAGATCTAGATCTAGATCTAGATTTATTTAGTTTACTAGATCTATATGCAGGATTCATATTCCAATTCTAGAATCTATTGTGTTATTGTATCAAACCCTATTATTATAGATCTAGCAATATGTAGATGTAGGCCATTATGCTCCTTGTAACTTATTGTAAGCCTTGTTTGTTTTGGAGTGTGGTTTTTTAATTTTAAAAATGTTTTTCATTTTGGACTTTTGCTGGCCTTTTCACATGAGGCTCGTTGCAGGTTCTTTTTTGGGGTAGGGGTAGGGGTAGGATTAGGTGTCCTCTTTGTTGTGTTTGTTGGGGTGGTCGCTCGTTACTCGGAAGTCCTTCCTTAAGACACCCACAAAAGCTCTTGGGGGGGGGGGGGGGGTTGCGCAAAATTTTCAGACAATCTGGTTGAGGCTCACATGCAGGTCTAATTACTACAAATCTAATACTAACTACTGAGTTCTATGATGAAATTTCGGGATTGCAACAGGGTCGGAATATTTTCCTCTTTTTTGGCTTTTTCTCTTTATCAGCACTGATTTATAAGCTCTAAGATAAATGTTGCACTTAAAAAAAAAACCCCCAGAAAAAACTCGGCCTGCAGAAACCTTAATATAGATGAAGGAAAAAACACTTACTATCTTATGCCTTCCTCTTCCAACTGTCTCAGATGCCAGTGATGATGATGAAAGCCCCAGAGGAACTCCAGTCAATGCTGCCGAGCCCCATGGAGGCAGCTCCAAGCACAGTGGCCAGGAGGTGGCCTTGAATGGGGACGTGGAGAAGGGCCAGGGCAAGAAATCAGGGAAAAAGGGAGACAAGAAGGGAGCTGCCCCTGTAGTAGTTCAGATTCGTGTGGAAGACGAGGAGGAGGGGCAAGGAGACATGACTGAGCAGCCCAATAATCCTTTGCTGCTGAAGAAACTCAATACCCAGGTTTGTGGAAGGAATTACGTGGGGTTTCGGGAAGCATGTAAAGAAGATGTAGTTTTGGAAACACAAAAGGGATTTATTTCACTACGTATTTCTCACAAACATGTTTGCATGACACATGAACCCCAACTTTCTCCAAGCAAAAATGCATACTTCATTATCACTTTATTCTCTACATCAAACGTCAAAGGCATTTTCAAGTAGGCATGAATTTTAAGATTAGGGACTATCAGATGGTATGGAGTGTGAAATTTATGTTTACACAAAATATGACACATTGGATGCAGGTCTGTTCAATTGTTGCTCATGATCAAGCCATATACAGGATTTTGACTTGTCAATCTATTACCATGGCACAATATTTAGGGGGTTCAATTTTTGTTGTCCAGCACCATAACCCAGTCCTTACTAAATGCAGCTTAGTATTTCACCACGGGGGTGTACATGTTTTTTTTGTTTCAAATATGATCATTAGTGCCTTCTGGAGAAAGTTCTGTTTGTCCTGAGAAAATATCAGCTGTGTTAAGGAACTGATCCTTGTGACTGACATGGTGGTGGGCATGTGATGGAGTTAATCATTAACTGTTTGCCTGTCTCTTCTTCTGTGGTTCATATTTCATTTTTATAGCTGTTACGGGTATAGTTGATTCTGCTTTTGTGTGTATCATTCAGTAATGTCTTTTTTGTCATGTTCTTTTTATTGTAGGTGTTGAAGACAATGAATAAATTTCGTAACAAAGAGAAAGGCTCCATCGATGTCTGGTGGTTATTTGATGATGGCGGTAAGTGAAGCCCAGCAAATCCTGCTTTTGTCTTTAATGGAACTGACTTAATGGAACTGAGGAACTGAATTTTCTTTGTAAAAAAGATGCCTTTTTTTTTGGTAGCATTTAAAGTTTAGAGTTAGTTTCTATATTTAGTAGTGGTCTCCCTCTGCAAAAGTTTTTCTGAAATTCATATTCTATTCATGGGCTGGCAAGACAATTTTTGTTCCAATTCAACGTATCGGTGCCCAAGGGACATGATGCATTGTAAAATGTTATGTATTATGTACTTTTGTCTTTTTCATTTTTGTTTTGTTTGTTGAGGGTTTTTTTGTTTGTCAATGATAGGGTATTTATGATTTGTTTTATTTATAAGAACGTATGTTTTTTTGCAATTGTGACTCTGAGAGCTTGTAAGAAGTGATGTCAGTGGGTTCATAATGCAAACCTCCCTTTTTTTAAAAGAGATTCTGCTTATTTGAGAACGACACTACACCTGAAATAAAAACAGTAACTGTTTTACTATAATCAGCCAAATGGAACCTGCAAATGTTTTGATAAGTTTCCATTGCTGACCTTTTGCGACGTAAAAAAAAAAAAAAGGAATTTCGAAATAGGAAGGGCTCTGTGTTAACTGATGACACGTGACGTCAGCAGCTTGCTGACATATTGTGCCAGATCCAATGTACATGACGATGTCTACTCCTCCAGGTCTGACTTTGCTGCTGCCGTATATCCTGACCACAAAGGCTCACTGGCGGGGCTGTAGGCTCAGAGTGTTTGCTGCAGGGACCAAGAACGGAGACTTGGGATATGAGCAAAGACAGTAAGAGATTCTTATTTCTTTTGTGATTGTTTCTTTTTGTTGATTTTTGTTTCCTTTTCTAGAAATCCTGGTGACAATTTGTGAGGGGCGGAACAGTTGTGCCAACCTTCTCTCTTCTATGTGAAAGTTTATATTTTTAAGAGAATGAATCTAAAAATATGTTTCAACATCTATTGAGACTCGTTCGCTTTTCATGTTTCTATCTCTTTTACAGTATCAGTTTGGTCTTCTTATGTACATCTTGATGAAATGTGGCAGTTATTGTACATTTCGTCCCAACTCAGCATCAGGGTGGCTGTATCAGATACTTTTCAGTTTTTGGTCATGATAAATGTTGCTGCTCTTGTTTTCTTTTTTACAGTCAGCTCTCTCTCCTCTCTTGTTGTATTGTTTAAGTAAGCTTTTTACGGTACTTGCAACGCAGTTAGCTCATATAATTACTGAAGATTAGAAGTCTTACAAGAAAGTAACAAACACATAAAAGGAGGAGAGATAGGACAACAGACAGATGATAGGAAAGAAGGAGCAAACCACACCAGAGCACCTGCCAACCACCCATTTCTTGTCTCTGACTGTCCTTCAAAACAAAATTGTCTTACAGCAAAATGTGTGAAATCTTTTAATAATGTGTCAAAGAGTATACGGTGGGAGGGTGGCTCTGACAGTGAACAATCTTTCTTCTTTGAGTAACCTTTACTCTTTCTGTGTTGTCTTGTTCTCCAAGTGCTGAATGTCCGCATCTGCTTAGATGTGCTTTTCTTTGACTTGAAGGAAAATGTGAAGTGTTCTGTGTCAAGGACCACCGAGTATTTCAATGCATTAAGTGCAGTATTGCTGTGTTCACAGACTGGCCACCCTTTTGTCCAAGTTCCGCATTGACTGCAAGGACATGACAGTGTTGCCTGAGATCAACAAGAAGCCCAGTGAGGAGAGGTGAGAGGATTGGTCACATCAGTGACCTGTGGTGGGGGCTGGGGTCTTGTCAAATGACCTGTACTATTGAATTTTAATACAGTATTTCTTATTTGTATTTTCCTTTGTTTATGATGTATTTTGTCTTTTCACAACAAAGGGGCTGTACTTTCCAAAGTGGGAGAGCATTCAACAAGGAAGATGCTGTGATTGTAGAAAACTTTGTCTTTGACTGTCTTTTATAGAGATTTTAAAGTGGCCTATTATATTTGCTTTTGGGAAGGGCCCTGGGACAGCACTACTTTACTCCATTTCTTTGAACTCTATAGCGGACTGCAGCTGGCAAAGCTTAATAGCTCTTCTAGCTGGCATAGCCGTTTGGTTTGTATATTGTGGTCTCACATGACCACAGCTGTGATGCTGAGTGGATCTATTGTGTTCCTGGCTGGGATAACACTTCCCATATTTGCCCAACTTTGACTTTGTCACGGCATGTGGTATATTGTGATTTTTTTTTTTCTCAGTCTTGCCATTTTCAGTGTATTATTAAGGCAGGAGTGCTTCTAATCAGTTTATTCTATCTTTCCATAGTATCTGTCTATCAACTTGGTTTTCTTTCGGTTGTACTGTAGTCTTAATTTTGTGTCTGTTTTCTTTTTCAGAATTTGTTTCAGAGGAAAAAGTAAAATGATTATTGTATAGCCTTGTCCTTGTCCAAGAGTAGATGGAAAGAAAATAAAAAGAAACGTTATATTTGTTAAGTGGCTGAAATGGCAAACAGTAATCAATAATTATTTAGATGTGCTACTGGCCTTGTGTGTAAAATGCCTAAATTGACACATGAAGTTTTTCTCTTGACAGTGTGAAGATGTTCAATCAGTACTTGTCCAAATGGAGGTTAAACTCGCAGAATGGGGAAACAAAGAAAGATTTTCCTTGGAAGGTGACAGATGATGAGCTGGAGCTTGTGAAAGAAAAGGTTTGTGATGTTTTAAAGCAGCTCTTTTTATGACTAAAGACAGCAATGGAAGGAGTACTCTGGGAATACATAACTTGATAGTGTTTGAAGGCTTGACAAGCTGCCATGCTTTGTAAACTTTGTGAGGGCGTAAATGTTCAGTTGAAAGGATTGGATCAGCCAAGGGAAGTTGGGAAGTCCTGTGATCCTTCAAATGGAAGGATTCTTCCTGGTGCTTTAGCAATAGCTTGTGTTTGAACATACAGTCAACCTGGTTAAATGGCCAACTGTCCAAGATAATTACTTGGACAAATGGCCTCTCCCCACTTCCTTCTTTGCATTTGTAACTATGTTATGTTGATGTTCTCCAAGGTGTCTACCTGTCTAAGGCACCCACCACTTTTATCCTTGACAATGGGTGGCCATCTTGGACAGTTTTAACTGTATATAGCAGTATTCTTGCATGTAGTGCATATTATGTATAATATTATGTCTCCCAAACAACCACAAGCATATTTCAGCTAGTCAACATAGTGCAGAATTTTTTTCTGTGCAAGGGTCAATGTACCTTCCTAAGGACACACTGCTGTATTCCTTCACTTCAAACTATTTCCACTAACAAATCTTGACAATTTTTGTTGTTGCAAATCTGCTTTTCCTTACCACTGGACTGTCGGTCACCCCAACTGTTTGAAAATTGGGGTTGACCCCATTGCACTTAGACAGTGCTACCACACTCTATAAAGAAGTTGTTGTTCCCCTGACTGTTTTCAGCCCTGAAGTTTGCTCTTGGCTTTTGTTGTGAGGAGTGAGAAATGAAAAACAGTGAACTGTTTAGTGTGTTTTACGGCACTCACAACTGCATTAGGTCATATGAGCGTAGTCTGTGTGTTTATGGCCTACTTTCCCCATCTGGCTGTCATTGTAGCCTGCACCCTTCAACATGTCAATGTTTGTGGTAAAAAAAAAACATGACTGTTAACAATGCTCATATACAGAAGCTTTTTTTATGGCATGTTTCTGTTCATCTCAAATAATACTGAATGATCCCCCCTCCCTTCCATGCACGCACGCACGCACGCACGCACGCATGCACGCACGCACGCACGCCCGCAGGGAGGCAGGCAGGCAGGCACCGAGGCACGCACTATTCCTGTGAGCACAAGCAGACACACACACACACACACAATTGTATGGTTGTAAATAAAATAATGTTCACAAACTGTACTACTCTTAACGAGAGGTTCATGTCCATTCTTGTGATTTGTTCTCCAGACACAGCGACATATAAGACTGAGGGAGCTTCTGCTAGAAAGATCCATAGATTCTTCCCTAATTGTGATGTAAGTAGAAAATTGTTGACCACGTGCCAGTCTGAAGCCCTCTGTGCTATCGGATTGATTACTAATTTATGCAAATGTAAAGGTGAAAGTAACCATTATTATACATCTGCATAAGTACTTTATGTGGCTGTTCAGTAGGAAGGATGATTTTACTCCTTATCAATGGCAAGTCGCTCCCAGTGGCTCGCGGTCGGAACCACTGTGCCTATGTGCTGCTGGCAGCAGTCCGAGCACATTCCTTTACAATGATGTCAACCTACTTTTCGATAATTGCCGAAAACAGGTCTCTTTTTCTGGGAGTTCATTCATTGGATAAAGAACTATCAAAATAGGTTCACTTATTTAGATTTAATCACCAGTTTAGTGATGTACATGTCACTTTCAGATTTCATACCAAAATATGGCCCCGGCATAATGGGTTTACTTCCCTCAGAGATAAAGAGTTAAGGGGAAAGGCACTTCTTCAGCTTAAGAAATGGAGAGGGCAGGAGTGATATATGGAGTGATCCGTTCGACATATCCACCTACTCTTTTGGGGTCAATAATCCTGAACTGTTGCAAACATTTTGTGCTGCTGCATGGGAGGTACACCATACTTTTAAAAATAGTTGTAAGAAAAGCCAAAGTTTTGAGGAAAGAAAGTACCTGAAGTCAGTCTGTCAGAATGGAATATTTTTTTGGGGTCTTTTGTGGAATGAGATAAACTTGCACCGTCTTCTTTCATTGGTGACCGAAGTTTGGAGAGTGACCATTGAAAGTTGCATGCTTAAAAGATGTTATGACTTTGGGATGCTTTTTTCCCATCTTAATCTTTTATCATAGTTTCCAAATACTAGAGTGCCTCACTACTTTATCCCTTAAGGTTTTCTAAGAAAAGGTTTTTCTTTTATTCTGTGAAGAATATAGTGTTATGGATGTTAACATTGCCGGGAGGTATCATTCAGAATATTTTCAGAATTTCAGAGATAAATAAACATTCCCAAAACTTCTAAGGTCCATGTTAAAAAGATTAATGTAATGATCTGCTTTGTAGATATGATATCTAATGTTGCCATGAAAGTAGGAATATCATTTTTAAAGACTTTTCTCAACTTATACAACACTTTTACCCTTTGGCTGTGTCTACAGGACCCTGCCTATGCCCAGAAAAGGCACCTGCCCGGCCGGACTCTACATGTGCTGGATCGACACGCTGACCCGTGACATGCCACCCATCCTCCTTGTGAGAGGCAACCAGACCAGCGTCCTCACCTTCTATTCATAGTTCCTTCATGTCAAAGTACATGCGTGTATGCATGCATGTAGAAAGATACACACATACAGCGAATGCTGTCAGTCCAACAGTGTACTTTTAGGGACCATTCACTTGAAAACTTGCTTCCTGGCCGTGGATGAGATTATTTTACTTCTAGGTACTGTGTCAGTATCATCACTGTGCTAGATACTGTGTCAGTATCATATTGTGCTAGATACTGTGTGAATATTATATTGTGCTAGATACTCTCATAGTATCATGTTGTGCTAAATACTGTGTTGGTATCATGTTGTGCTCCATTCCCACTTTTCCTCATTTTTCTGTGAGGCACTGGTGTGTGTGTGTGTTTGTAGGGGAAGACTGTATCTTAATGTTAACATCATTTTTAAGACAGTTGTCAGTGCTGTTCTGCCTCCTTTCTCCTCCTCCCACAACTGCAAATATAAATGTATTGTCAAATTGTCTTTCCATCAAGTTTGTTGCTTCACATCTCAAAGTGCAAGGAATGTTTCTTAGAGTGTGTAAGGCAACTGGAGATAATTTGCCCAGATTTTTGTTCTGAATCTTGACTTTTGAATTTCTGATGGAGATCAGTCTTTTATCGATTTGGGTTTTTTTTAAAAAGCAAATCTAGTTTATCACAATCAACGTTTCCTGACGCAAATCCTCACCTTTCTTTCTTCACTTCACATTCTCCTCTTTTTCTTTTTTGTCCCAGTCTCTTTTCTTCTCTCCTGCACACACACTCATATGTGCACGGCACATAATGTATACACATATCGGTAGTCTTGCTTCCAGAGCATTTGTTCACAGCTGAGGGGTAACGATCTGAAAGTAGAGGATGTAAGTTAGAGATGGAATAATGGTGTATTTTATTATTAAAGTGAATTAGAAGTAACTTTTCAAGGTTTACTGAGGAAAAGTACACTAGTACATAAAATAATTGTGGATCACTTGTTATTTAGTAGTGGAACCTATATTGTTCTTTTTTCTTCCCATTCATTAATGGAATGCTAGTAAGTAATGTGTTATAGGGGGAAATGTACTTTTTTGTACAAAATATTTGATCAACGGCAGATATATATGATTGGAGAAATCCAGACACTTTTGCTTATAACAATCTTTGTCAATTTTTATCAGAACTTATATTTTATTTTGTAATTTTGAGACAATTTACTGGGTGTTGATCTATTGACTATTTCTGCATTACCTGAGGAAAAGTAAATGAAAAGTAGCTGATGTCCCTCTGCTGTGACTGTTATGTAGATATTTGTACCGACGAGAATGGTCCCACCCTCATACCTTTTAGCGGTGGGCACCTCATGTTTCTTGCACTCCACGCATCCCGTCCAAGCAAAAGAAGTTGTTGCTGTTATCGCATTCAAGCTGTACCGCACGCTCATGTATTTAGAATTTCCATGCGAATATGCATAGTGTGTTAGTTTTCCATGTTATCCATCTATTGTCTTTCCACTGGGACCAGTGAAGAGGAGATGGAGACTTAGTCAGAGAATGACAGTTCTTCATAAGTTATTTGTACAATAGCTATTTATAATCTGGATATGTACACTGTATGTGGGACTGAGACCATGTGAATGCTCACCTGTTTTCAGCCTGTGGTCTCTTGTTGATCCTCTGTTATTAAGGAAAGCCTCAGTATTGCCTTTCTTGTACAGACATGAAGGTGGAGACTAACACAATTTGTTTTGAACATTAACAGGAAGGATTTATCAGTTGTGAATCAAAGTGCACTTTCTGGAGACTTGTCAACTTTGTTGCTATTTTTCTTCTGATCATCCAGTTCTAAGTACATTTTTTGTAGAATGGAAGGCTGCAGAAGTGATGTTCAGGGATAAAGTTGTGTATGGGGCAAACTTGAATTCTGCTTTCAAGATGAAATGCTCCCTATCAAGAAAGTACTGATAGTTTTTTTTGAAAATCTTTCATTCTCTTCACAGATAAACTCTATTCTGACTGTTAGACAGTCTTATTTATCTGTTTGTGATCTTAGTCAATCTGGTCAGACATAATGTTACTGTTAGATTTAATGAGTATAGTTATGCAATGTCATCTCTCATGAATCTCCAAAGATGTTGGTGCATGTTTTGTGCAGGTCTGTCTTACACGAGAACTGGTGGACTTAATCCCGTTTTTCTCCACACTGGTTCATGTTTGGTATTTTTTCAAGTTGAAATCTGTCTTCCAAAGCTGATTTTAAAATTTGAGCAGCTGAGAGTATGAGCTATAAAAAGTGAAAATGTGTTGAGCTTGAATGTTGCTGCTAACTGCACTGAAAGGAGAGATTGATGAAGTGTTGATGAAAAGCTGTAATATTGTTTTGTTATGGGGATTTTCATGACATTATATGTGGTTTGTTGTTCAACAAATGTAAATATTGTTTGTGACATTTCAAAAGCTGTCATTCTTTGCATCATGGATGTATTTTTATGTACACAAAAATGTTAACCTCATTTCTTTTGTCTGGCTTTCCCCTATTACTCTCTTTGACTCTGGCCCCTGTCAATTTAACAGTGTAAGTAGGTGTAGGTGTATTCAAAAAAATGGTGCATATTTTACAAATTCATAGCCTTCTGTATAGCTTTCATATACAAAGGTTGTTAGGTTTGATGGAACCTTTTTTAGTCTCTTTGCATGATTTTGAACCTGAGGATTCATTGATCGCGTGCTGCTTCTGTTAAAAGGAAAATTCCAAATGCAGTTTTTTTGGTGCCAAGCAGTAATCAGCTGTATGAAAAAAAAGTTTTCATGACACTGCAATGAGAGATTGAAAGAGAATAGCATTAAAGCCCTTATCTTGTAGTGAGAGGTGCAGTCTGTGTTGATTCTAACACCCAGACATTGTGTTTGGCTTTGCCATCTTTGTATCACCTCAAAGTTGAATGGTTCTGTTCAGTTTAGGTCACTTTTCGTCAACAGGCTACATTAGTTCATCATAATATAAGTTTTATCACTCATAGTTTTGAGCATGGTAGAAAAAAAGCGTATCCTGTATTCTCGTCTTTTTCTGACTAGAATTTTAATGATTTGTTTTATTTCTTCTAAATTTGTTTGAGCATTGAGGCCATTTTATTACAGGGTGGAAGGCCGTTGTATAAAGGGTGCCGTAGTGGGTCACTTTGAATTTGGTGAATTCAGCCATTGTCATGGCACCTTGACAATATGATCACTGTGGACTGCAGTAGTAATCTTAACTCACTGAGTTTGACCTTCTGGGAATGTAACGACTTTTTAAGAGAACTTTTCTTTCTTGAATAATTATGTTTTAGCATGTAACGAAAAATCTTCAGTTGAAAAAAATGTCTGTTAGGTCTCTTGTGTTTACTTACAAGGGTTTATAAAGTAGAGGGATTAAATTAATAGCCTGTTACTTCCTTAGCTGATGGAAATTGTGTTTTATTCTGAAGCCTGTCCCTCTTGTTGCTGGAAACTGCTGGTCTCACTGGGTCTGTGAGAGAGAGGAGAGCAATGTCTCAGGATACACCTGGCTGGTCACTGTGAACCTGTGACTGGTAGAAGCACCAATATGTTGATATTGCCATTTGAGTATTTAAAATCACATTCCTGTACTTTGCCCTCAAAGCTACAACATTTGTCATTGTGTTGTCCAGACCTGTCTCCATACATTATGATATGTAGTCATGGATATATGTTCTGAACCTAATGAAGAGGAAATACTTGCTAGCCTATGGTTTGTAAATGCCTTTTGCTCTTGCCTCGCCATGCTTACACCTGCCAGGTTATGGGAATATGTCTTCTGTCTGTGTTCTTGTTAGCTGCAAAATAGCTTTTGGATTTCTGATCATTTTAGGAAATGAAAAAAATCTGCATTACCTTGATAAATTAAAAATGGTCTGTATCTTCTTTATGCATTTTACATTTAAATGGTGGGTATCTTCTTAATGCATTTTACATGAATGTTGATGCAGTAGTTACATACAATTAGATTATTATTTAGATAAAAGACAAAAATTGATGCAAAAAGATTTTACATTTGAAAATACAGAGAACCTTTTGTTTAACTGTCTTTGAAAGAAAAAACTATCTATCTCCGCCTCCTGCCTGTTTCCCCCGCATGTTGATTCGGTAAAGTTTCAGGGTCTTTTCAAGCTTGTCTTTTGATGACTCAGTGTTTTTGTATATTGATGACCATGCATTTTGGTCTCTTTATATGAGCCACTTCAAGCTATCTTTTAATGACTGTATGTTTGTTTTCTGCACGTGTGTACTCTCTCACTGTTTGTATGTGGGTAGTTGACAGGTGCTCCAGTGTGGTTTGCTCCTTCTTTCCTAAAAGACATCTATCACCCTTATCTCTCCTCCTTCTATTTTGTGTTTGTTACTCTCTCTGATCTCTGGCACTCATATGACCAAAGTGTGTTACAAGTGCTGTATAACTTTCACTAAAAACAATGTCTGTACTGAAGACTGTAGCCCAGCTGTCTCTGCTGGTTCTGCTGGTAGAGCACAGACTGTGTGTGTTGTGGAAAACACGTCAAACTGAGAGGGTATTCTCCGTCATTTCATAGATGCTTTGTGATCCATTTCATATCATGCGTCTTTGTGTCATGGTAGAGTTACTCTCTGTGTTTCGTTTACAACACTTCTTTTATGTATCCTGTGCATGTGTGTATCCTGCATTTGTATATATATATATGTGCATGTAATTGTTTGTTTGGGACATGCGTGCGTACTGCTTGTCCTGCATACTGAGGAGTGATTATGACCTGGCAAATGATGCATCCTGTCTAAAGAGATGTCTTCTTGTCGTCTGTGCCGTCATCTCTCAGTGAAACGGGAAAAGTTCCCAACTCCCAAAAACTGGCAGGAGAGAAGATCAAGAGTAATGGTGATCCAAGCTCTGTACATCAACTGTGCACTAACACTGTGTTATGTTCTACAGCTTGGTCAACTTAAAGCAAAAAATCTTCATGTCCCATTGATCAGTTGCAGTTAAGATTCAAAAACTCTACTTATGTATGTAAATTGTTTGTACAGGAAACATTTGTGTGGCTGGTACTTAGTGACGGAATATCCTTTTGAACTTGCACACTGAAATAGTCCACTTGAAGAAAATGTAACTGATGTGTAAATATTTAAGTTTTAATTTTCTCAGGTTGGCAAAGGTTAAGACTAACTTTTAGTTCTTCCTACACAAAACGTGGTCCTAGATGGACATTGTTCCAGGGGTGTTTTTGTTTGCAAAGTGCTCATTTTTGTCTGAGATGTTTTTGTCCTTGTGGTGCTTTCATGAAGTCAGAGAGAGGTTTCAGGCTGTTGAGGGACTGTTGTTAGCTTTATGCTCTTTTAGGATTGCTTCTCATTCTTCTTCTGTTTTTTAGTTATACCATTTCAGTTTTGTTTTTTCCGGTGATTATGTGTACATTGCCAAGTCGATTAGGTGTCTCGGATTTCATTTGCAATACTTATCCCATATGTTCGTTTTTGTGCAATTTGCATTATTCACTCAGATTTTTGTTCATTCCTCTGCAGGAGTTGAGTCTCGAACCTATAAAATACTCTTTGATTTTGATTTTTTGTTTGTTTGTTTGTTGTTGTTTTTTTCTGTTTTACAAACCTTTAAAAAAGACTCACTAACTAGAATCTCATCATTTATTTTGTACCAGTTGTCGTCCCATTTTTATTTGCCACAGGCACACTCATTCTCACACTACATGAACTCAAATGTAAACTACTCTGTGGGGCACCCTGGTGTATTTTATTTACTTGGGGGAAAGTATCTACCGTGGGAACAAAGTGACAAATTGATACTTCCCTTGCTTCTGTTCCTCTTCCAGGTGTCTGCCCTCCTGATAAGACTAAAGTTTTGCATTTCCTGGGCGCGTTTCTGTGAATGTGTTCATGTCATCCCCAAGCTTTAACCCCGCCTCATCTTTTGGCCTGTGTCATGGGCTCTGTTCTCATTATTCCTATGATTTTTTGTGTCTATAGTTTGCTAGACTTTGTGCCATTCTATTGATTCTGTTTGTTTTTATTTGTTTATTTTTGGCATGATAACATCTTTAAAAAAATATTTATAAAGGTAGACTTTGTACCTAGCCGTGTGCTCTGAGGGGGTGATAATGATAACGTAGGCATTCCTTAAGGTGTAAATCTTCCTCTTACACCCTGTCAGTGACCTTTGAAATTTCGTTTGAGTTTGCTGCCAGGTCTGTTTTCAAAAATTTGATAATTATTTCAGGTTAAATTTTTAGATTTTGCTAACATCCTGAATAACCCATTATGTCTTAACAGACAAGATAGGGGCCTACCTAAAACAAACTGGGGTTTTAGGCATGGTAAATGACTGCCAACAAATTCAAATGTCACTTTTACGATCTCCCAACGCGAAATGACTGTTATAGCTTCAATGTGCTTCTCTTTTAACTCTATCTAGACTGTTGCTCTGTCTGCTTGGCACTGCTGGAGGTTTCTGGCCTTTGGTCAGGGAACAACCCGAGATTTATGAAGGGATTGTAGTCAGGCCTGCTGTGTCATCTGCACGTTAGTATCGGGAGTCAGTTGCCAACCCTGAATCATTGTTAGAACAAAAAGAGCAGACCTGGGGTTTTTTTTTAGTTCTATACTAATAACTAATAAATTTCTTTTCCCGTGAACAAGAACAATCAAGTTGAGTGCCTTTATGAGAAAAAACAAACAGTGGTGTTACTCTAAATTGTGGCCAATGCACATACATGTATTGTCATTATTACTAGATAGCTGCCATGTCTCTAATTTACTCAGATCATATTATATATATATACTTACATTCTAACATTCAATAACTTGCCATGCCATTTTAAATTTTACTCACTGATCAACTCAATGGCCATATACAGCACAGTTGTACCATGATATTTAAAATTTTTGTTTGTCATGACCAAGTTTGTTTTTTTGGTTTCTTTTTTTTTGAAAGAACTCTGATAATTATCTTTCCTCCGTTGAAAATTAAGGCTGAAGCCAAATATTCTTAGTTTTATGTTTTAAACTTTTGTGTTCTGCAATGATTCATGCAATGTCTCTCATCATCCTAGCATTGCTACTGCCTCAGAGGTACACTTGCCGAGATGTCTACCTGCCATTCCTAATTTTTTCCAGTCCTTCATAGAATCTCCCTCCCAGTCTTGAAATTGTGGACATTTTTCTCACTGACATTTAGCTCTTTATCTTGTGTTGACTGAAGGAGTTTAGAATTATCATGTACATGTAGTTGTGTAGGCAGTGGTACAAGATGTCCTTTAACAAAAGTTCTGATGCAGTCTTGTCAGTTTGTTCACCCAGTCATTATTCATTATTGAGGAGGGGGATTGGGGGGGGGGGGGGGGGGGGGAGGCTGTTTGAATTGGGATTTTGAGAAAATGATGGGTTTGTTGGGTTTTTTTGTGCATTGAAACACTGTGGAAAAGGTCCCATACCCGTGAGATATGGTCAGTGCCTATATGTAACATGAAGAGACTCAGTGTTTTCTGGAATGTAAAAAGTTATGTAGCAAATAGGGTGCTTTGTAAATTCAGGGTAACCCAGTGTTCTGGTACCTTCCTGTCCATCAGTTGTGCTAGCTGTAGGCTACTGTTGCAAGCTTCAGACACACTTGTCTACAGAAACTGGGGGAAACTTTATGGTTCTATAATTCTGTGTTCCTGATTTCTAGTCTCTGGTACAGTTCATGAGTAGGGTGTGGGGTAGGCATCTCTGCAATTGTATGACCTTTTTTTCTGTGTGTGTCCCTGTGTGAGCAAGACTGTCACTTGCTCTCTGAGACTTAACACATTACTCAATATACTTTTTACACTGTCTGATTTTTGATGTTTAAAAATTTCTGTCACTTATGTTCTGGATTCTTTGAATCTTAAGTCTTTTTTCCCCCCCTTTTACATTTAGTTGTTTTGTTTGTGCAATGCATGCAGTAATCTTTTAGTATTCTGCTATCGGCATGGTCCCATCACAACATATGTGCTCCTACTCTGTCTGTTTATCTGACCGATCATCACTTGGGGTGGACGGAAATCTCACTCGCCAGTCGTATGTTTCTCAGTATCTAATCTACTCTTTTTGTCAACAGCTTTAACTTATCACTCGGTTTTTGAGGAGGAATATTTTCTCCACATTAATACTGTTTGGTTTGGAGGGTTTTTTTTTTTGCTTTACCACTCCTGAAGTTTTACTTATTCATTACAGTTCCCACTGCTCTCAATCCCTATGCATTGAATGTTTGTTTCATGCAGGTCAAAATTGTGTTCTCACCTGAATTTTTTGTCAGGTAATCTCTAAAACAGGGCTTTGATAAAAATTCTCTGCATTTCTTTTCTGATGTTATAATTTATGTATGAATATTAAATACATTCAGTGCGACTTTAATTGTTGTCAGATGTGCTTTATTTCTGTGGTGTGACCACATGTCAAGATGATGTCGTCCCTCTCTGACTCCTCATTACTTACTCTTGTTTTGTGAAACTGTAGATGTCACAGTCATTGAATTCATTTTGCATGTCATCGCTGTAAGTCGCCAGCCTGGTAACTGCACCTTTCTTGGATATTAATATTTTGGTTTAGCCTTTAGATTTAGAGGCACCATATTTTCTAAGTACTGATGTTTGGGGTTTTACTAGGGAAAGTAAAAAAAATGTGAGTGATACAGAAAAAAGCAACTAATTAAACTGAGCACTGGAGAACTATTTCGCTTTCCTTGAATTCTGTATTTGGATGTTACGAACTGTACGACTTACAGCGATGACACATTTCTTATATGTCCATGTAGAACGTTGTAGGTGAACAAGTACAGACTGTTGGATGTGTTGTATCATGAACATGCTCAGACCATGACGCACTGCTAATGTGTTATAGTTCAGACACACAGACCATGACTCACTGCTATTGTGTTATAGTTCAGACACACAGACCATGACGGACTACTAATGTGTTGTAGTTCAGACACACAGACCATGACACACAGCAAACATGAGGCAATGTGAACACTCCAGCCATGGTATGCAGCGGAATTGTTTTGACAATTGTTTCCTTTGCTGATGCATCCCACTTTTTAGGACCATAATTATAGATTTGAACAATAATCCAAGCAGCTCTTTCCATCCATGTGTATTTTTAGAGATAGTGGCTGACTGGGAGTCTCTCGGCTACCACTGCCACGTATTTCTGAACACTTCTCATTGAGTACTTTTTGTGTGCAAATATGATGAATGGTCTTACACAATTCGTCGTCTCAGGTTGTCTAAAGTGCCTCTTTACATAAGTACACTTCGGACAAACTAGTTCTGAGACCACGAATTGTCAAAGCTAGACTTTAGAACAATGTTTTCAATTCTCTAAATGTAGTGGATCCCAGTTGATACTTGATAGAATGCACATGTGCTAAACTAAACTACTGTGGTAATCTGTTGTCTCTAGACAGTGAACTTTTTTTGTAAAGAGCTTTCAATGTAGACGTATTTATGATTTCTTAGGGGGGAAGTTCTTGTGTACGGCATTATGGCCTCCTGTCAGTACCTGGAGGGTGGTGGTAAGGCTCTTCTTGGCCATTCTCTGTGTAAGGCATGACTTCAGTCTGTGAGGAGGCTTGTTTAAAATCAAGAATCTCTGTCTGCTTGCATGCTGTATCTCTCTCTGCCTGAATTGGCCCTGACAGGCAGGGTCAAAGTATCCTGCCTCCTATACGACCGACTGTGTTGATGGGAGCATAAAGCATTTATAATTAAAATTCTAATTACGTCCTGTCATCTTGCCGTTTCTCAAAGAGTGTGTCGGGATGCTTGTACTTATGACTTACTGTATTTGCTGTTCTGTCATTGTAACACTGGTTATGTAAATATGACCTACATTGTTTGTGTTGATCCCAAACGCGACCTGTCTTATCAGATGTTCTGTGCCTTAGAAATAGGTTTTTTCACAACAGACGCTGGGCACTCCCAAGTCATTTTTTAACCCAGGTCTTGGAAGAAACTCCAATATGTTTCCCAAATGAGGGTTCGGTTGATGGGGGGGTTGAAATATTTTCTATTAAAAGACTCCAGGGATGATCATACCATTCTTATGCCAAAATGTGTATTTGCTTTTTTTTATATAAAAAAATTTCTAGTTTGGGAATTTGTGTATTTTAAGATTTTTGCTAGCTGTATTAGTACAAGTTTGAGAGAAGAATTTTAGAAGAAAAAAAAAGAGCTATTCAAAAGATTTGTTTCATTACTCAAGACTATGTACCTTAAAGTTCCCATCGTAGTCTCTACCGACACTTTTTCACCAGTCTATTTGTGGTGTCTCCATCTTGTACGTGCCAATGTTGTGACTCCTAGAGATAGCGTCTGACTCTTGTGTTAGGCAATAGCATGCTACTATTAGAGCCTTCTTCGTGTTAGCTGATCAACGGCTTCCACTCGTGCTTGTCATAGAAATCATAAAGACAGTTTATCAATCTTGGAAATGTGAAATAATGTGACCTTGAATTTGTCATTTGTAATATTTTGAGTGTCCTAAATGCATTGATTGATTGTTGCCACCATAGATCAGAAGTTAACAAAATAATCTGGCTTTGGATTTGTCAGTAGTAATTTTTTCATTATGAGCAATAGTGCTGTGAATATTCACACTCATCGTGCTCCTAAAGCTTTCAAAATGCTTTGAAGAATTTGTCTGGTAATTCATAGTTGTGAATTCTTGGAATACATTGACTTGGAAGGCTTTTGTTAATCTTGCATAATTTCAAAACTGACTTTGAAAAGTCTTTAGAGATGCAGCTTTCTGCGCTGTGCTGGGAATAGTCCTTCATTGTTTCTGGATAAGTTTACTTTTGTTTTGCTGACGTTCCTGTTATGCTTTTAAACTCCTCAGAGAATTTGTTGATGACATGGCTGGTACTATCTCATACACAGGGTTATAAAAATCTTGAACATGAAAAGAGGGGAAAACCCAAAGAAAAACAATTAAAAAAGACAAAAATAGTTTCATAATAACTGAGTTTGATTTCATGAATTTGATGTGAGTTGTGGCCATGTTTTTGTGTCGAGAATTTGTGCTTATAAATTTTTGGGTGGCCTGAGTAGCAGAGGGAACTGTCCACTGAGAAATTCAGTTGAACAATCCTCCTCTCGTGAGAATCGAATCCATGTCTCTCTGGAGCAAGGAGAAAAGCCTAACCACTACACTACTGCTGCTGAATGAAGGTTTGGGTTAGTCAGTGCCCAGAGATGATGGTACATTAACACTTTTGGATGTTTTTCCAGTTTTTTCTCACCCTAGAGTGTGGCCTCCCTGAGCAAGAGCTCTAAAAATAAACTCTGTTCAGGGAAAAAGGCTATACAAAAATTAGTTGAAGTACAAAATCCTCAAACTTTTACATTTTCTTGTTCAGAAATGGTGTCTGCATAAGTACTTATAATATAGTATTAGTATTAGAAGGGGGGGGTTTGTATAAGAGTGTATGTATGTTGTGTGAAGTGTCACTTTCATCACCAATTCCTGGTTGTTCATCACTTGAATTCATGGTGGAATTGTAGAACGTTTTATCAAGTTCAAACGCCCGCTATAAAGTTGTAAAAGCTGAAATGTGAATAGTTTATAAATTAAAAGGAAGAGGAAGTCCGCGAGTTCGTAACTCGACTCAGATTTCCCTTCTTTTTTTAGCCACAGAATTCTGTGTTTTTAGCTCATGATTGATACACCCTCCTCAATCGCCTGCGATCTCCATCAGATGGATTTATTACGTCATATCAGCGATGAACATCCGAAAAGGTTAATACTGGTATTGTCTTCGGTTGCCAGATAGTTTAGTTTTAGTTACAGTTTTATGGCACTTGCAACACTGTAAGGTCATGTAAGTGCTGAAGATTAGAGGTGTTACAAGAGAGTAACAAACACAAATAAGGA